TGTTTACCTAACATTTCTTCCCTCTCAGTCTACAAATATACAAATATATGACAAATATGCCAGGCGAGCAGCGAGGTTCACATCCACAGAGGTGAGTGTTCTTCAGACATAAACACCTGGGCCGAGGACAGACCTGCTCTCTCTTTTTTGTTTTTGAGACAGAGTCTTGCTCTGTTGCCCAGCTGGAGTGCGGTGGTGCGATCTCGGCTCACTGCAACCTCCACCTCCCTGGTTCAAGCGATTCTCCTGCCTCAGCCTTCCCAGTAGCTGGGATTACAGGCACCCGCCACCACGCCGTTAATTTTTGTGTGTGTGTGTGTGTATATATATATATATAGTTTTTTTTTTTTTTTAAAGTAGAGATAGGGTTTCACCATATTGACCAGGATGGTCTTGATCTCGACCTCGTAATCTGCCCACCTCAGTCTCCCAAAGTGCTGGGATTACAGGCGTGAGCCACGGCACCCGCAGGCCTACTCTTACTTGCTACTGATGCCCAGCACCTTCCACCGCCATGGAAGCTCCAGGGCGCTTGGTGAGGCCCTGGAGATCAGACCGCAGCAGGCCCTTGTCGTCAGGGTGGAATCAGTAACATTCAGAACCAGGGAACCCTGAATGGCTCAGAGTCAAAGAGCCCAAGTGCCTGCCTCCAAAAGCGGGAGATGCTCAGGCCACTTGACTGCACTGCTCACCATCCTCGGTGACCATTCCCCAACCAGATATCCAGCAGGAGCTGTCAGGGGCCAACGACGTGGTGGGTTCCGGAAGGCAGGCGGGGAGGATGTGGGAGCTGAATTCCACAGGACGGTGCAGCTGCAGCAGGGTGATGTCACTCCCCATGCGGTGCCACTTGTTGTAGTCAGCGTGTACCATGATCCTGTTCACTGTCATCTGCCGGCTGTGCTCTGTGGGATGGCTTAGCTGGTTGTACCCAAGTAGGATCCGGTAATCAGACGGGTTAGTGGACCTGTTGTGGGGAGGCTCCTCTGAGTGCTGGGCCGGCACCCTCACCCTGGCTGCCCACCTGGCAGGCACCCAGACCCCACCGTCACTCTGGAGTTACTCTCTCCTCCCTTCCTCATGTCAGACAACCCTGCTTTGGTCTTGACAAGAGCTTGAGGGCCTTCCAGACACTTGGCCTTGGATGATTCCTGTGGCTTTCTCAACATGCCCCAGACTCAAAGGAGTCGAGAATCTTAGTGCAGAAAACACTGGGGGTGCACTACTTCACCCCTTCATTTCAGAAGAGAAGAGACTTGGCTCATTCCTAGCTCTGACCAGAACCCTCCTGGGGCCCCATGACCTACAGTAATTCTCGAAGACCCTATTTCCCTAGCCAGTATGCTCCACCCCCTTCTCCCCAGTCCTCGTGCACCACCATCTCCAAGGCTGCCCTACCTGGTGACGGGAACTCAGCAGGTATTGGTGGAGCACATGGAGGAGTTCATGGAACTGAACTTGTTTCCAGAAAACAAGTGACTTTCCAACCCACAGGTCCTGGTTGTATGGTCCTCCTCCCCCCACATGCCTGCATCCACCTCCCCAAAGGCCTCTCCTGCTCCAAGCCGCTGTCTGGCACAGGGTCTACCATGGTCCTGGGCTTGTGCCTCACTTTCCTGACAGGATGAGAAGCCTCAGGGTGGGGCTTGCATCTCTGTGTACCGCACAGTGGGCCTGACTTGAGGCCTGGCACCCGCGGGTGCTGAATAAATGAGTGGGATCTGAGGAGGATGCTACAGCCAGCTATGTCCAAAGCTCTGGCTTCTGGCTCAGAATTTGACATCCTCCCCGACTCCCTTAGAGCACACAGCAAGCCCAGGAAGCATTGGAGGAGTAACTCAGTCTCCTGACCCTCTCTGCCTCACACCTCCTGGGACAGACGCCGTCTGTTTCATCTTCCACTCTCGTCTGTGGGGACGGTGGCACATAATTCTCCAGAAGTGACAAAACCCCCCTGGCTGGACATACAGACTGGCAGGACCCTTCTGGGGAAGAATGTGCCAGCATGTGTGGGTAGCCAGGACGTAGGGGAGCCTTCGGCAAGTGTTCCCTGGACAGCCTGCAATGAGCCCTGGCTGGAAGGGGCCAGGCACTCGAACATGCATGCCTGGCCCTGGGAAGCCCTGGAACTGTCACTCTGTCTCGTCACCTGAAGCGTGTGTCAAGTGTGTGTGACCTGGGACGCTGCACACCCACTACCACTTACACAAGAAAAACCGCGGCCCACTGAGATTGTGTGGATGGCCTAGAGCTGGGCAAGATGCAGAAACCAAAGCTCACGCTGAGTGGAACATCAGGATTTTGATTCTTAAAGTTTACAGCAGATGGAGAGTGGGCTGGAGGTGGTTCCCTTTAGAAATAAAGTCTGTTTTCCTCTATTTATTGATAATCCCAATTAGAGTGGATTAATTTTCATTTAGCTATTTATTTTATTTTGTTCTATTTTATTTTATTTTTGAGACAAGATCTGGCTTTGTGGCCCAGGCTGGAATGCAGTGGCACAACCACATTTCACTGCAGCCTCAACCTCCCTGGGCTCAGGTGATCCTCCTGCCTCAGCCTCCTCAGTAGCAAGGACCACAGGCATGCCCCGTCGTATTTGGCTGATTTTTTTATTTTTAGTAGAGATGGGGTTTTGCCATGTTGCCCAGGCTGGTCTTGAACTGTTGGGCTCAAGCAATCCACCCGCCTTGGCCTCCTAAAGTGCTGGGATTACAGGTGTGAGCCACCGTGACAGGCCCTAACTATTTATTTATTTTTACTTTTAATTATTTACTTATTTTCAGACAGGGTCTCATCCTGTCACCTGGGGTGGGGTGCAATGGTGTGATCACAGTCACTGCAGCCTTGGCCTCCCAGGCTCAAGTGATTCTCCCGAGTAGATGGGAGTACAGGCGCACACCACCAGGCCTGGCTAAATTTTGTAATTTTTGTAGAGATGAGGTGTCACTATGTTGCCCAGGCTGATCTGGAATTCCCGGACTCATACAATCCTCCCACCTTAGCCTCCCGAAGTACTAGGATTACAGGTGTGAGCCATCACACCCGGCTCCATTTAGCTGTTTCAAAGTCATGTGCGTGTAATGAGACAACCACACCATCTTAGCAGGTTGACCAATGTGGGGTGGAGTGACGGGGGGGATGCCCAACCCCAGAGTGAGAGATGAGGTAGGATCCTTTGCCTGGGAGATGCCACACACTTGGTCAGGAGACTGGAGCAGTCTGATGGGCAGGGACAGCATTCCAGGCACAGGGCACTGCTGGGTCAAAGGCAGGACACCCGGGGGCAGCAAACTGTCCCAGAACAAAGCCTACAAAGAAAAGGCTGTGCCCTCACTTCAGGCTTCCCTCTCGCGTGCCCTCCCACAGCAGGGCCCTGAGGGAAGGTGCACCTTTGGAAGCAGTGAGCAGCAGAGGCCACCCAGTTGCTGTCGATGAGGGCAGCGCCGCAGATGTGCCTGCCTAGATAGAGTAGACTGGCCTGCCATGGCCACCGCTCAGGTTCCGCCCTCTGGCCTCCAAAGATCTTCCCGGTGGGCCTCCCGGAGGAATTCCCGCTGAATCTGGTCTTCCCACACACTGTGGAGACAGCCCAGCAATGAGGTGCCTGCATGAAGGACGCCAGCCCCTGGTGCCCCCAAATGTCAGGATTAACAGGACCCGGGGCCGCCGTGCCCCTCCTCTCACTTCACAGGAGGGACATGTCCAAGGCTCAGGGTGAAGCCACGCGGCCCATGGGACAGCACCACCTGGATGACCCGGGAACACACAGCCCAAGGCCCCCTGTCAGGGGCGACGGCCGGTGGGGCTGGGGGGTGAGCACTGGGCCCGGCTTCTCCCAGGCCTCATGCCGTGTGTGTTGGCGCAGAGGCTGCAGAAGGGATGCACCGCTCCACCGCGCGGCCCCTAAGCGGCTGTGCCCTCCCTTCCCGGCCCAGTGCGCCCCCAGACTGAAGCGAACTGGAGACAGTCCCGTCTGCAGTAGCATTTCCCCATCCTGGAAATGAGGGTGTGTGGGGCGCTGGACTGCAGAGGCCTGAGATCCAGCCCGGCAGGGCCAGCGCGGGAGCCCCATCCTCTCCGCTCCTTCCAAGGCGCCTTCCTCCCAGGGCTCGGGAGCCAGACCTGCCCGGCCGGGCCCTCCGGGCGGGTGTCCGCGTCGGGCGGCAGGGCAGGGCCACGAGAGGCGGGCGACCTCCGCTCCTCGCTCCGTCCGGGCCACCCCCGCCCGCTCACCTGCAGAGAGGGACGAGGTGGACGGGAAGCGCAGCAGCAGGAGGAGTGGCCAGAGGATCGCGGCGGTCAGCGCGCAGGGTCCCCGCCGGCCCCGGCCTGAGCGCTCTGCCCCCGTGTCCCTCATCCGGCCGGTGGCCTGGGCGTCCCCAACGGGGCGGAGAGCGCGGCGCGTGGCCAACCGCGGGGCTCCGGGAAACCGCCCGCGGCCATCGGGGTGCTGGGACCGGATCCCAGGCGGGCGGGTGTGGGGAGCCCGGGCTCGTGGGAGGCAGGGGTCACTGGGAACCCCCAGAGCGTCACAGGGCCCCTCCCTCCAGGGACTCCACTGTGCAGAGGAGACACGAAGGCAACTATGGCCCAAGCGCAGAAATACACAGTAATGGTGAGAGGGCGAGTGCTTGCATCACGTCATCAAGCATTTCCAGCTTGCTTTCCGAGTTCAACCCACTCCTCCATAAGGACGCCGGCCCTGGGATTAGGTCAGGCCCACCAGGGACAATATAATATCCTTTTCTTAAACTTCAGCGTGCCACAGTCATGAGAGGCCTGTGCCGTCTCAGTCGCAGGTCCCTCCACACTCAACAGGAGGGTCATAGACAACAGCTGGGTGGCAGGGAGTCGTCTGAGAATTCTGCCTAACACAACCTCCGGCCTCCAGTGACGCATGTCCCTCCCAATCCCCAGAATGCATTCAGCATACCTCAAGGTTACCAACAGCCTCATCCTGTTACCGGAACAGGGCCTGATTCAGACATGAAGAGAGGAATTCGGGGGATCCATAAAGTGAAAGCACGTTTCTTAAGAAAGTAAAGGAATAAAAGAATGGCTACTCCACAGGCAGTTGCCCATTTTTACGGTTATTTCTTGCTTATATGCTAAACAAGGGGTGGATTATTCATGAGTTTCCAGGGAAAGGGATGGACAGTTACCAGAACTGAGAGTTCCTCCCTCTTTTAGATCATATAGGGTGACTTCTTGACCTTGCAGTAAACTGTCATGGCACTGGTGGGAGTGTCTCTGAGCATGCTAATGTATTATAACTAGCATATAATGAGCATTGAGGACCACCAGAAGTCCCTCTCGTCGCCATCTGGGTTTTGGTGGGTATTGGCTGGCTCCTTTACCCCAACTTATTTTAACAAGATCTTTATGACTTGTATCTTTTGCCTACCTCCTATCTCATTCTGTGACTTAGAATACCTAACCTCCTGGGGGCCGGGCATGGTGACTCACACCTGTAATCCCAGCACTTTGGGAGGCCAAGGTGGGCAGATCACCTGAGGTCAGGAGTTCCAGACCTGCCTGGCCAACATGGTGAAACCCCGTCTCTAATAAAGATACAAAAATTAGCAAGGCATGGTGGCAGGTGTCTGTAGTCCCAGCTACTTGGGAGGCTGAGGCAGGAGAATAGCTTGGACCTGGGAGGCAGAGGTTGCAGCAAGCCGAGATCATACCACTGCACTCCAGCCTGGGTGACAGAGCTAGACTTTGTCTTTTTTTTTTAAAAAAAAAAAAGGCCGGGCGCGGTAGCTCACGCCTGTAATCCCAGCACTTTGGGAGGCTGAGACAGGCGGATCACAAAGTCAGAAGATTGAGACCATCCTGGTTAACAAGGTGAAGCCCCATCTCTACTAAAAAATACAAAAACATAGCCGGGGGTGGTGGCAGGTGCCTGTAGTCCCAGCTACTCGGGAGGCTGAGGCAGGAGAATGGTGTGAACCTGGGAGGCGGAGCTTGCAGCCAAGATTGCTCCACTGCACTCCAGCCTGGGCAACAGAGTGGCAAGACTCCGTCTCAAAGAAAAAAAAAAAAAAGCCTAACCTCCTGGGAATGCAGCCCAGTAGGTCTCAACCTCCTTTTACCGGCCCCTATTCAAGATGGAGTTGCTCTGGTTCAAATGCCTCTGGCAATCTCATTAGAGTCTCAGCTTAAAATTCAAAATCTCATCATCTACATCTAAATAGAATTATCTCATCAGCTCAAAATCCACAATGTCATCATTTAAATACTTCAGATGGAATATGGATCAGGTTCCCAGCTGTAATCTGCTAAATACAGCTCTTGAGCACAATTCTTCCTGACCTGTGGACCTATGAAACGAAAGAAACTTCCTACCCCAACATTCTGCACATACACTGACAAGACGGGCACAGCATAATGCTCAAAAGGAGGTTGGGGGAATGGACAGTAAAAAGCAGTGACTAGTCCATAGCAGCTTTCATATCCTTCTGGAACAAACTCCATTAGGTTTCAAGGCCTGGGAGAAAATCCTCTGTGGCTCTCAGCTCGGGTCATCCTTCCTTTTTCATGCTAAGTAGCACGTTTGCATCCAAGTAGTTCTACTGCCTTGCTTCCTGCAAGTGGAAATCTGGGGGCCTTCTTTCATTGTGTACTTTCCCTGTCCCTGTCAGTATGAGCTGGGAATGTTCTGCTGAAATAAACATCTCAAGAACCTCATAGTCCTTGTGTGTTTCACTAGTTTCACTTCATTAGATAAAGTCACATGCACAATCTTTTTGAGATAGTCCCTCCTCCACCTGGCCTCCTGCTGAGATGGCAGCGTCCTTGGGGCCCTCTGTTGTGACTATACCTCAATGTCTTGAAAGGGCCCTTGGATGGACTGACTATTCTGACCTCTTGGTCTTTCTGGGGTCTTAGCAGAACATTAGAGTGTCAGACTTTTCTCTGTGCCATGGTTTCAGCGACCATCTCTGACTTTTAGCATCTTTTGACATCTGGAGAGGCTAAGAATTTTCGAAACCCTCCAGTCCTGATTCCTTTTGGTTTAGCAGTTCTTCCCTCAGTTTATCCCTCTTCCTTCACATTTTGCTATAAGTAGCAAGAAGAAACCAGGTAGGACCTCAAAGCGTTGCTTAGAAATCTCCTAAGCCACATGAAACTGCCTTTGCCGAATTATAACTGTAAGAGAAATCTGACATAGTTGACTCCATCTTGCTTCTGACCTCCAAGCTGTCCTTGGTCATTCCTGGGGCTAAGCCAAGCTAACTTTAAGAAGAATTTAGTTTATAGTTTAATTTGAAAGCAAGGATAATAATAGTTCCTCCCTAAAACTAATCCCTTCCTTGCTCAGGGACTGAAAACCACCTTTGGTAAGATTAATGAAAGGCCACAAGAATGGGATTATGGGAGGGGACTGAATTCTGATAAGGTAGGCATAGTTTCTATAATCCCTTACAGCTCAGGAGTCATATGGCCAGAGGTCACAAGATTTGTGACTTTCCCAATTGCTCCTATAATGTCACTATTATAGAACCTGAGATTTTTTTTTTTTTTTTCGGCTTTTTTCAGACTGACCCCACCTGAACTTGTGACTCATGACTCAAATAGCCCTGTGGTCCCACCCAGAGGTGGACTCCGTGCACAGGGACCATTTTCCACACCTCTGTAATTTCATCACCAACCAATCAGCTGCACTTATTCCCTAACCCTCCTGCCCATCAATTGTCCATAAAATCCCCTGGCCTCTGAGCCTACAGGGAGACCAATTTGAGTGAGAATGCCAGTTCTCCTGTGTGAGTTGGGCCCTGGTCAATGAAAGTCTTTCTCTACTGCAACAGCACGGTCTCAGGAGTTTGATTCTGTCTGCGCAGCAGGCAGGAAGAACCTATCTGGCAATTACACATACGTGCAAACGGGCCCTTGAAAGTTTGCTCCCCACACAGCAGCGGGAAACAGTTTCTGCTGTGACACCATCAGGACCTACCCCATTTCCGGTAGCATACCCCCCGCCTGCTAAGCTGTCAACCACAGAAGCCTTGAAGTCTATATTTCTATGCACAGTCTATCCAAGGAAATAGAGGCTTTCTCTAAGGTAATTCAAGTTTTTAAAATGATATTCCTCAAAATATTTCCAGGCTCCACCCACTGCCCAGTTCCAAAACTATTGGCATATTTTTAAATGTTTCTTACAGCAGCACCTCATTCCTGGAACCAAAATTCCTATTAGTGTTCTGTTGCTGTGAAGGTTTTAACCTCGTGGCTTAAAACAACACGAATATATGACCACGCCATGCCCGGTAAGGAGTCTGCCATGGCCCAACTTGGTTCTCTGCTGAAGGTCTCATGCTCAAGATGTCGGCTGGCCACAAGTTCTCTGAAGGCTCTGCAGAAGAATTTGCCTTCCAGCCCATTTAGGTTTCTTGCAGTTGAATGACTGAGGCAGGCGTTTGCTAGTTGGGAGCCACTGTCAATGCCTAGAGGCCACTTGGCTGCTTCCCACAGGCCCTCTCACAATACCGCAGCTTCCTCCTTCAGGGACAGCCTCAGGATCTCTTGCATCAAATCCTTCCTAGGCTTTGAATCTCTGACTTCTCTTGTCTGTGACCTCTAGACCCAGATACAAAGGACTCCCATGATTTGGTCAGAACTTTCAAGGACATCACCCTTCCTTAATCAGTAATCTCCCTTTCTTAAAGTGCTATGTGATTAACACAGTCACGAGACTGATAGCCCATTATATTCACAGTCCCTCCCACCCTTGCAGGGAGGAATTATATAGGATGTGAGTTGTTGAGGGTTATCTTAGAATTCTCCCTACCACAGTCTCCTCTGAGACAGATTCTGCTAACGCAGACACAAGAGTTTCATTCAAAAGCTCAATCTCTAGCAGAAGATGCAGAAAAGTAAATTGAGAATTTCCTTTTTTTAATTTTTTCTTTTTGAGACAGAGTCTTGCTCTGTTGCCCCGGCTGGAGTGCAGTGGCACCATCTCGGCTCACTGCAACCTCCACCTCCTGGACTCAAGCCATTCTCCTGCCTCAGCCTCCCAAGTAGCTGGGATTATAGGCACATGCCACCATGGCCAGCTATATTTTGTATTATTAGTACACTATGTTGGCCAAGCTGGTCTTGAACTCCTGACCTCAGGTGATCTGCCCACCTGGGCCTCCCAAACCGCTGGGATTACAGGCATGAACCACTGTGCTCAACCTGTTTTTTGTTTGTTTGTTTGTTTGTTTGTTTGTTTGTTTTTAAACAGTTTCACTCTTGTAGCCCAGACTGGGGTGCAATGGTGCGATCTCGGCTCACTTCAACCTCTGCTTCTTGGGTCCTGGGTTCAAGACTGGTCTTGAACTTCTGACCTCAGGCGATCCACCCACCTCGGCCTCCTAAAGTGCTGGGATTACAGGAGTGAGCCACTGCACCCGACCAACTGATGATTTCAATGTACTGTGAAAAGAAGCAGAATAAACACAG